CGATAATCGAAGATCTTGTTGATAGTAGCTCAACAGTAAAAAGACAGATGAAAACGGACGTCGGATGAAGAAGTTATGAATTTTTAACAGACTTTTCCTGTCCCGGCCCGTTAAAAATAATATTAATATAATATTAAAAATAAAGTCAAAATTAGCTGATGGAGTCTAAACGAAAATTGTAGAGCATAATTTCACCTACGCGTGGATATAAAGAATGTCAAAAACGGAGTTCGTATGCGAAAGATATGAATTTCTGAAGTTCAGAGCACAAACTTCGAGACCTAACTATGTTCATGACGTGAACACAGTGTTCACGACGTGAACTCAGTGAATGACGCATTTCGAGCCTAAAAGACACCCGAAAATCCTAGGGGATGACCATGATCAAAACTCACGACGTGAACAATCCTGGTTCACGACGTAAATGTCGAATTTGCACCCTATAAATAGAAACTGAAGGTTGTCGTATCTTGTTTACAATCTCAGTTTCCTTTCACTTTCTACTCTCCTTTTAGCCTACTTTTAACCCCCCGAAGTCCCGGTATTATCCCCAACTCCTGAAGTCCGAGAGCCCCGAAGATCCCGAGAAAAAGAGTTTTTGAGCCAAAACTCTGCCCGTGTAGAGCCCGGTCTTTGGGAAAACATCCTGGTTTTTATCGGAAACGATCGTTTTAAGAGACGAGGTGCTGCTCGATTATCGTCTTATCAAGTGAGTGTGTAGTTATTTTCATCTTACACATAGATATGAAGTATTTTCTATAAAATATGTGCTATGTATAATCATATTGTTTGTTTATTTCATATGAATGTTGAATGAATTTTAATACATGTTTTAAACTGTATATGTATTTTTATCTACAAAAATGTTGGGTAAAACATGGGTAGATAGTTGATGTGTGATGAAATAAAATGATGAGAGGCCTCAATGTTATTGTGATCCAGTCATCTAGCGGAGTATGGATGACGAACACAGACTTTTCTAGATAGTCCTGTGGAACGCTGACAGGCTCACAACCTGTAGGTGTTAATGAACTTAGGTGTTAATTTGTTGTACTCCATCCCCCACATGGTTGCCTTATTTGACATAAATTTATGGAAAACCCCCAAAGCAGTGTTGTCACCCTAATGAAAATCCTTAGACTAGGTCCCTTGTGATAAGTGTTTAGGGACGTAAAATGAGGATAACGGGAATGGGTAATCAGGGTTATTATTGGTTGATAAAATTAATAAATTTATTTTGGATTGATAAATTTATTATTGGGTGATGAAATTAATAAATTTATTTTTGGTTGATGAAAATTAATAAATTTATTATTTGTGGGTTGAAAACTCTATATGCACTTAGCTTTCTGTATTACAGGTAGTGGACCCCGAGCGTAGTTTGGAGGTTGAAGAGGGATTTTTGAATTATAAGCAAGTAGTTGTAAATACCTGTTGTAAGGCTTATAATTTATTGTTTATGCTTTTGGTCTGTTTCAGAACATGACATCCCGATGTTGATATATAATGAAAAAAATTATTTCTTTAAGAAATGTTTGGTTAAATTCTTATTATATTCTTTTTGGGAACGAATTCCGCAACATCTTTTGGAAAATTACTCTGATTTTATTTTAAAAGCATAAACTAAATCGGTCTTTTCTGGCCAACAAAATTGGGGATGTCACACACAAAGTATGTTTAAGAACTTAAATCATGTATTAACCCTCATCCATGCATGCAAAGACATAAAGTTTATAACTTTATGGTTTAGGACATCTTTAAAGACATGGATCTATGTTTTGGACGTTAAGACTTAATGGATTAAGTCACAAGGGAAGTTCTAAGGAAACTGAACAGCACACTGGGCGTACCCCCTGGTACCTTGTGCGTACTGGGTCAACCTCCCTAACGCGGTCAAGACCAGCGTACGTGCCAGATACGTCGTGCGTATGCATACATAATGGATAACGAGCTTTTTGGGACTTAGGTGATTAGGCCTAGATTTATTAGGCCTCATGACCCATTGTGGAGTAAGGTTCCTGGGCCTAGACCTAGGATATATGGTATTTGGCCTTAATGGGCCTTATTGGGCCTTGAAACTTAACTGGATGGACGTACGCTTTAATTTAATTAGGAGTTGGGCCTTGAGAGAAAGAGGCCTAATAGACCAAGGATTAGGAAACCTCGCATTGGGCCATGAATTAGAACTTTAGGCCACAAGGGAGTTCTATTTAGACCCAATGATCGATTAGGGAATTTATTATGCTTTAGGGAAAGCAGTTACGAGCCAGCTGAGGAGTACGATTTCGGCATGCGCAGTGAGGTGAGTCTCCCTTCGTAGACTCGTGGGTCGAAGGCACCAATCCCGACCACTAGTATTTATATGACTTAGTAATTGTCTTCGTGATAATTATTAAGGTGGTATGTATTGCTTGATGCTTATGTGTGATATACATGATTTATGTGGTAGTGGTAGGGTGAAATAGATCCTGTAATCGGTTAGAATAAAACCAATGGGTAGGTCGGGCACCCAGGTATGCTTGACAGGGGTAGGTCGGACACCTCGGGACGTCTGACATGGGTAGATTGAGCACCCAGGTATGTTCAACAGGGTAGGTCGGGCACCCATATATGTTTAACAATATGTTTATGATTTGTATGTGGTGTGGTGGGGAAAACTCACTAAACTTCGTGCTTACGGTTTTCAGTTTTGGTTTAAGGTATTTCCAGCTCGAAGGGGAAAGGACCAGCTTGATTGCACCGCATCACACAATGATTTTCCACATTTGATTTTGGGATTATGACTCCCATGATGATTTCATATGTATCGTTGATTTGCACAACTAGACTATTTATGTTTATATGGTTTTGGGAAAAACAATATGGTTTATGTTATTGATTGATCAATTTAAAAATGAAATTTTCGGGTTGTATTTTTAAGAGTGTTAAAAATTGTGTAATACACAAGTTGATTAAAAAATTAAATATTAAAATATAAACATTATTTTTTTTAAATAAAATTTTGATATAATGAATGAAAAAACATATTAATTACAATTACTATCACATTTATTATATTTAATACTTAGGCTAATGCCATAAAAACCATCAAAATTTCAAGAAATGTTCGGTTATATCCTAAGTCCATTTTTATGTCCACAAAAATCGCATATTTCGGCAAAAAATGTCATAATTGCCCTATTTTTCGATTTTACCCTTCTATGGCATTAGGGGATGTTTGGTTACAGATCGACACATGTTAAGGGATGTTTGGCATTAGGCGATGTCGAAACGAAGTTGGGCACTGTCTGCAACTTCTGACGACCTGTAACTTCCGGCGACCCTTCCTGGTCCTTCTCTTGTCGTCGGCTACCCCCAATCGAGGGGAAAAGGAAGCAGCGACGGGGTAGATCAGAGAAGACGAACGGAAGGCTGCCAAGCAGATCGTGAGGAGGGAAAATGAGTTGGTCTTCGGTGAGCTCCCCTTGGTTTCCTCGTCCTCGTCTCCTGCAGCAATCGAACCGAAAAGGACGCAACAACAACAGCCATCCAATGCATAGCACCATTGGTGCTTAATATGACTAAAAAAAGAATGAGAACATAAATGACAACAAAGGGGTTGTATTGGTGCTTGACAAACCAAAAGTAGGAAGGGTTGAAGTTAGCAGCTGGTGGTGGTAGTAACAGGACGGAGATGGTGGCGGAGCAAGGTGTAAGTAGGCGTCTCTGGCGAGCCCTTCATGGCTCGTTCTTCGTGGTTGGCAGTTGTCAGAATGAAGAAAAGGGGAAGCAACAAATTGAGGGCTTTTTGGTTGGAAATTAATGAAGAAGGAAGAAGGTTGAGGGGCTGCTAAATGTGACTGGAACGGAGGTGGCAGCCCTCCCTTTCTTCCTTGGTTTACCGACAATGGAAGGAAAAGAATTAGCAAACCAAACACACTTTAATCCTATAACCAAACATCCCCTAATGTCATAGAATGGTAAAATCGAAAAAGAGGGCAATTATAATAATTTTTGCCTAAATGTGCGGTTTTTATGGATATAAAAATGAACTTAGGATATAACCGAACATTTCTTGAAATTTTGAGGGTTTTTATAGCATTAATCGTTTAATACTTACATATATAAATATACAAGAATTATGTGATTTTTTAATTTTAAAATTTGCAAAAACCTAGAAATTAACATGTGAATATTATTTATTTCAAAAGTATCATAAAATGAAAACTCAAAAGAAATTGACAAATGGCAAAATGAATATTCATTTATTTATTATAGTTGATTTGATGATTTTTATTTAAAAAAAAAATTGTATCGTTCAAATTTATTCTTGAATTTTTTGAAATAAGAAATGTATTCTCTCTCTCTCTCTCTCTCTCTATATATATATATATATATATATATATATATATATATATATATATATATATATATATATATATATATATATATGTGTGTGTGTGTACCCACACAATATTAGAGCTTAAAATCAAATATTTGATTAAAAACCATGATGTTAAACATTTTGAGATAAATTTTAAAAATAAATAGCAATAATTTCTTTAAAACGAAATGGAAAAAAATACTATAAAATTTGAAGAATACGTCCGAAATAAAACATTGAAGAGAAATAATCCATTCTCTAAAATTGAAAAAAAAATGTTATTTTCTCAAAAAAAACTCATTTAAAATGATTAGTTTACTCTATTTCCCATTTTACATTTATAAAATTTCCCGTTTTATATTTATAAAATTATTAAATATACAAACATTAAGGTGTTGTTTGTTTTTTTTAAACGAAAATGTCTGAAGTCTGTTGACTACCTCTGCAACCCTCTATAGCATGTAGTAGCAGAAGAGGGGACAAAACGACTGCAACATCTAATAAAAAATTTGATTGTTTTTTAATATGTGCAAACTGCTACAATAAATTAAAAACAATGTGTGAAGAAGTTTGAAGTAGAATAAGAGTTTTTAAGTTGCTAATGACCAAGTGCCCGCACTAGGAATTGGTTTTTTAAAAAAAACACAAATCTTGTTTTTAAATCTTTTTGAAGAGGTAGAATGAATTATAAATGCTAAAAAGGTTCAAATCGAAATCACAATTCACGTTTCTAGCCCAAAACGAAGCCGAGAGAACCTGCGCTCAAAACAGCGGTATTCAATTCAACCTCCATCGATCAAATTCGATTATCCTCTCTACTCCGTTCTTCCGGCGATGTTAACAGTCCGAAGCCAACCCCAAAACACTTCTTTCTATCCGCTAATGCCCTTGTGGAATATATCCTACTAATATCGACCAAACTCTCTGCACGCACTGTATTAGGGTTCTTCCGTTAATCTACCACTTGCCCTCCAAGGTCAAATTCTTCATTCTTCACTCCTTTCACCTTCGCTTAAAGCTTCTTGCTTCCCCTTGCGCATTTACACCTTCAATGCAAGCTGACACCCCCTTTCAAATTAACAGTTTCTAGCTAGTTATCAACGAACGCCATGAATGCCACAATTATAGGTATTATTATTAATCCCTTCTTTTCTAGCATAAGGAGTTTGTGGGTTTTGTGTTTGATCGGTTTATTGTTTTTGTTGGGGAAAAGATCCGTTGCAGGGGGATTTCCCAGAAGTGATAGAAGAGTATTTGGAACATGGTATCATGAAATGCATAGCTTTTAATCGCAGGGGAACTCTTCTTGCTGGTAATTATCCACACTCCTTGTCTTTGATACTCCATTATCTTACACTTCGTTTGTTTAAACAAATATGTTAAGTGCTAAACTGCTAATTGATAGTTAAACGAGTAAAATAACTCTCTACTTTGCAAACCCTACATACCCTGAGTTCTATGCAAGTCCTGCCATGATTTTGTCGACCAAATTCAGTACAAGTCATGATTAATGGTGATTACATTCGGCTATTAGATTTGTTAGCATGAAATTTGGTCAAGCATTGTCATTTTATACTTCTGCTGAACATTTCTTTTTTCAAATTTGTCATTAAGGTTACAAAACTCTTGTGTTAAGAAAGTGGTTACTGATTTACTGCTGAACATTTTCTTGTTGACTTATTACAATGAGAACGACTTAATAGAAAAAGTCAGAGAAACAAAGGCTTTCCTCATTTAACCTCAACTTTTTACATATTTTTCCTCATTTAAATTTTTCTTTCCACTTACTGTGCCCTCATTTTCTTGAATATTTTTACACATCATGTATCTAAACAACACAATGCTGTAATACAAATAAATGAAAGTAAGATTACATCCCCATTTCTTGCTATAATTGGACAGATTCTTTACACTGCAATTCTGTAAACAAGTCAATCAAATTACATCCCCATTTCTTGCATTGATTCAACTCTTTTACTAATTTCATGAAATACCCATAATACCCTTCTTCCAGCCGGATGTTCCGATGGAAGCTGTGTAATTTGGGACTTTGAAACCCGAGGAATCGCAAAAGAGCTCCGCGATAAAGACTGTGTTGCAGCCATCACCAGTGTCTGCTGGTCAAAATCCGGTCGCCACATCCTCATATCCGCCGCCGATAAATCCTTAAATCTCTGGGATGTCATGAAAGGAGACAAAATTTACCGAACTACCCTTCAACAAACACCACTACAAGCCCGCCTACACCCCGGCGGCGGTTCACCGGAATCCACTCTCTGCCTCGTTTGCCCTTTCTCCTCCGCTCCCATGATCGTCAATCTCCAAACCGAAACCACCACAACACTTCCAATTTCATTCTCTGGCGGCACCACCACCGCCACCACCGGAGCTCCACCACGAAACAAATTCTCCGACGGGTCCGCACATTACACGCCAACCGCCGCCTGTTTCAACAAACACGGGGATTTAGTTTATGTCGGGAATTCAATCGGAGAAATTCTTATAATCGATCACAACAAGAATCTTGTTCGCGGGGTGGTGGCGGTTTCCGGTGGGGCGGTGATAAAGAACATAGTGTTCAGTCGGGACGGTCGCCACCTTCTCATAAACTCAAGCGACCGGACAATTCGTGTATATGAAAACCTCTTACCCTTAAAAGATTCACTCAAATCCCTCAATGAGATGATCTTTGATAACACTCTTGATGAGGGTGAAATCGTAAAAAGCGCAGGGGTGAAAAGTTTGTTGCTTTTCCGGGAGTTTCAAGATTCGATCACGCGAGTGCATTGGAAGGCTCCGTGTTTTAGTGGTGATGGGGAGTGGGTGGTGGGTGGGTCTGCTAGTAAAGGGGAGCATAAGATTTATATATGGGATAGGGCTGGACATTTGGTGAAGATTCTAGAAGGTCCAAAAGAAGCTTTGATGGATTTGGCATGGCATCCGGTTCATCCAATGGTTGTATCCGTTTCTTTAACGGGTTTGGTTTATATTTGGGCTAAAGATTATACAGAAAATTGGAGTGCATTTGCTCCGGATTTTAAAGAACTTGAGGAGAATGAAGAGTATGTGGAAAGAGAAGATGAGTTTGATTTGATGCCTGAAACCGAAAAGGTAAAATGGATTACTTGTTGTGTGTACTTTTATCATATGAAACAGCATATGAGTTTGATATAAATATATCAAGTATGACAATTGACAATTGACAATTGATAGGTGAAAGATTTGGAAACGAATGAAGATGATGAAGTTGACATTACAACTGTGGAGAAAGACTCTGCATTTAGTGATTCCGATCTCTCTCAAGAGGAACTCCGATTCTTACCCGCGGATCCGTTTCCGGATGTTTCCGAGCAGCAGGAGAAACACACCGCAAGTAATTCCAAACTCGGTGATAGCAAGAATTCTGATTCCCCTCTTTCAGAAGAAACCGGGGCAATGAATCATGATTCCAGTCAAATCGAAGGTAATTTCAATTTCAATGCAAGAAATTGAAATTGAAATTTGGGCTACACACTTTCACTTATTTCCATTCCGTTATTTTACTTTCAATTTTTTTGTCCATTTTTGATTTTTGAAGTCTTTGTTCGTCAACTTTGACCTTAAATGTTTTTGCTTTTTTGATATATATGATATTTGATGCAAAATTATATGGATGGATTGTGTTTTAAATATCTTCTCATTGTTACAAGTTTCTTCAAGTGATATATAACACAGGTAAAAATATTTAAGGTCAAAGTTGAAGAATAAAGACGTTAAAAGTCAAAAAAGTGGACAATATTTGTGCGACAAATGAAGTATAAAATTATACTGAAAATCAACCCAAATTTTTTATATCGTTAGATTTTTGAAAAAAACAACCTAAAAGACCTTATATTTTGTGTTTTTTCCGGATTAAACCTTTACTTTAGTTTTTCCCTGAAAAAGATCTTGTATTTTTTTCAAAAAAAACCCTCAAATTTTTTAGTTTTTTCCGAAAAAAAACCCTCTCGTTTTACAGGTTTTTTGGAAAAAAAATGACTGAAAGGGTAGGATAAAAAAATGAAAAAAATGCAAGGTCTTTGTCAAGAAAATAATAAAATCAAGGTTTAATCTGGAAAAAAAAAACACAAAATATATGGTCTTTTATGAGATTAACCCAAAAAACAATGAAGTAGGATGCTTTAATAAATGAAGAAGTGTAAGTATGTTGCTATTTCTTGTATTTAATACAAAAGTCAAATATGTAAAAAGGTTAGGACTTAAATGAGTTGGCATTATCTTAGTATGGCTTTGTGATTCCTTTGATGCAGGAATGGAGAATTCCGGTGGTGAAGATGGGGGAATGACATATTTGAAGAGAAGGCGAAAGCCGTCTGAGAAGGTGTTGGAATTGCAAGCACAGAAAGTTAGGAAACCGTTGCCGAAAGCGAAAGGTGGTTTGGGTAAATCATCAAAAACAAAAAGTAGAATTGGGAATGGAATTGGAATTGAACAAGAACAGGATATGAATAACTTTGGGGATGAGTTTGGGATTGATGATTAGTTAAAAGGGAATGTAATAAGCTAATAATCAACAACTTATTGTAGTTTAAAGATTGGACTTGGTTTTATGTAGTGGTATCAACCACACGAAAGCTTTTTAATGCTGTTTTTTCATAAAAAAGCGCAAAAAAAAATGCATCGTATCTTCCATAACATAACGGGTGACATTTTTCAATTTCCTTTTTTATGAGATGTTTGTATATGGTGTTTAGTAACAACTAGCAATTGAGCCTGCGTTTTACTGCTGGTTTTTAAGTTTTTTTGTTGCGCATTAGTAGTAAGAATTGATTAAACTAGTGATATTTTACAATGTTATAAGTTGAAGGGGGGGGGGGGGGGGGGGGGGGGTAAAAGTAACATTTTAAGAAATAGATTGTGTGGAAACTTATATAGTCCAGGGAGTAAACACTAAAGTCTAGAAAACATAAGAAGTAAAAGTGATTTGACAAAGTTCAAGGTGGAGGGGATGAAAGTGAAAGTCTAGAAAATAACAAGGTAAATGTCATTTTAAAAGGTAAAATGTCGAAAAAAAATCATTTTACAAAACAGAGTCGTGACAAATTATATAAAGTTGAAGAATTATGGTTGCAGTTTACGTATTGATATATATTTGTACTAACATTTAAAAAAAATAGATTGGCTGAAAATGTATTTTACAAAGCAAATGAAGGAAAATCATATTTTAAACACCAACGTCTAAAAAACGAAAAGTTAAAGATAGAGAAGATAAAAATGACATTTTAAAAAGTCATGGGATGGAAAATATAATCTTACAAAAAAGAAGGGTTACAAGTGATGGATGATATATAGGTGAGGGATTAAACTTGAATGTAACACATTAATATACTTGTAAACTATGCATATCAACATGGAACTGCTAACAATTTGAAAACAAAAAAACTTTATTTAAAAGAAAACTTATCTTATAGCTTTTTCAAATTTCAGAGAGTTTTTTGGTTTGAAAAAAAAAATATGAATAAGCCGCTCTTGTGGATGCTCAAAGAAAAAAATCATTATATCTCTCGTAATAAGTGAGGTTAAAAAAAAAAAAAAATTATGATACTTTTTTGGTATGTTTAGTTATAATTGGTAAAACAAAAATAAACTCACAAACATTTTTTAAAAACTTTATTAAAAAAATATTTCTTATAGCCTTTTCGATTTTCAAAGAGTTTTTTTGTTTGAAAAAGAAAACACGAATAAGCTCGTATTGTGGACACTTAAAAAAATCATTGTATCTCCCATAATTGGTTAGATTTTTTATTTTTCTTTTTTATGAGATGTTTGTATATGTTGTTGGGTACAAAATGGTAAAACAAAAATAAAACTCACAAACAACTTGAAAAAACATTATTAAAAAAAACTATCTTATAGCCTTTTTAATTTTCAAAAGTTTTTTGGTTTGAAAACACTCTTAGAAAAAGAATATGAATAAATCATAATTGGTTAGATTTTTCAGTTTTTATTTATTTATTTATTGAGATGTTTGTATATGTTGTTTAGTTACAATTGGTAAAACAAAAATAAAACTCACAAACAACTTGAAAAAAACTTTATTTTTAATAAAAAAAATACTTTATAGCCTTTTCAATTTTCAAGAGTTTTTTGGTTTGAAAAATCTCTTGAAAAAAAAAAAATATTAATAAGTTCCTATTACGGATGCTCAAAGAAAATAATCATTGTATCTTCCATAATATGTGAGATTTTTCTTTCTTTTATATGAGATGTTTGTATATGTTGTTTAGTTATAATTTGTAAAACAAAAATAAAACTCAGTGACAACTTGAAAAAAAACTTTATTTAATTTAAAAAAAAAAAAAAAAAAAAAAAAAAACTCTACCTTTTTAATTTTCAAAATTTTTTTTGGTTTGAAAAAAATATGAGTAAACTCCTGTTGTGGACACTCAAAGAAAACTTCATTGCATCTACCATAGCAGGTGAGATTTTTCAATTTCATTTTTAATGAGATGTTTGTATATGTTAGTTACAATTGGTAAAAGAAAAATGACTCACAATCAACTTGAAAAACTTTACAAATACAAATAATAATAATAATAATAAACCCCTCTTTTATTGCCTTTCCAATTTTAAAGAGTTTTTTTTGGTTTGAAAAACCTCTTGAAAACTAATCAGTTCTTATGCTCAAAAAAAAATCATTGTATCTTCAATAATAGGTAAGATTTTTCAATTTTATTTTTTTATGAGATTTTTGTATATATTGTTTAGTTATAGTTGGTAAAACAAAAATGAAACTCACAAACAACTTGACAAAAAAAACATTTATTATAGCCTTTTTAATTTTTCTGAGTTTTTTGGTTTGGAAAAACTCTTTGAAAAAGAATATGAATAAGTTCCTATTGATGCTTAGTCATTTTTATATATATTTGACTAATAAAATTACACGACTTTTCTAAAAAAATTCGTTGTGACCGGAAATTAAAGGTTTTTCTTCGGCAATCAACAAACTTGTGACGGTAGCCAACTTTTAAAATTATATATATTTAGTGCCTTTATTTTTTATTTTTATATATTTAACCAACAAACTTACATAAATTTTAAAAAAAATACCATATTTTATTTTATCAAAAAATAACTAACAATAAAAGTTGTTCCAAATTGTTTACACATGATTCTAGTTGTTGCTGTTTTTTTTTTTTTTTTTTTTTTTTTTTTAACTCTTTGACAAACCATTTTAATTTGTTACATATATTTAGAGTTTTCTTTTATATTTTTGTATAACTTTTTTTTTTTCGTTTTTACAAAATTACATTTTTACAACTTTTACAACCTTTATTATTTCTTTTCTTAAATAAAAATTATGTTTTTCTTTTGACAACTTTTGCCCCATTAAAATTTTTCTTCGTTTATAAATTTGTAAAAAAATTGTAAAAGGTGATAACATAATTTGTTAAAAATGTAAAAGTTCTTGGCAAAATTGAAAAAAATGTCTAGACCGACCGAATGTATAACAAGAACTAAAACTTCGATCAAAATTATAAAAAAACAAAACTTCCATCAAAACTATAAAAAATAAACTTGGATATATCATGCCACAAGGACCAATGGAGGATGGTTTATGTAAATTGGTATATTAATGACACTAAGTATAAGATCCATGGATTATATGGGTTAATTAAAAAAAATATGTGTTAATTAAAAAAATAAATATAAATGTTTAAATATTTAATAACTTTGGATTTATAAGAAAATAAGAAAAATAATGAATTATTAAAATTAATTTTTCTTTTAAATTTGAATAAATAAACAAAATAAACTAATGAACTTTAATTTGGGAATTTTGAAATAAGAAGGTAAGTCCATTAATGAAATTGATATTCATTTATTACTACATTTATACATTTATTGTAATTTACTTTAACAAACGAAGATTTTTTTTTTCCATACGTCACATTCTGATTGAAGTATTATGTGGAATTTATTAAAATGGAAAATCTCATAAAATGACATGTGGAAAAGAAATTAATTCAAAATAACCACAAAATAACATTTAGCAAATTCAATGAGAGTGTAACATGTGGTAAAAAAAAAATTCATTTATTAGAATAGATTTGAAATAGTCCATTGGTGAGAGCAATATTTTTCGAACACTTTATACAATTTTATTGGTCAATTATGTAAAAAAACAAATTAAAGTCACTAAATATCAAGGTTCTAAATAATGTAAAACGTGATTTGACGACAATATTAAACATGAAACTTTATTAAGTCGTGGCGAGCCACTTCGTTTATAAAGCGTGACTTAAAAATGTAATTTTATATATGTATGTATGTGTGTGTGTGTGTGTGTGTATATATATATATATATATATATATATATATATATATATATATATATATATATATATATATTCTGCTATTATTCTTTTTTATATACATACGCGACTTAAGACATCATTTTGTCAAAATTTTTTGGCGATAAGTAAAAGCTTTTGAAGCCATCATGACGAGCCATGATAGAACCATGACAAGCTTTTTAAAACATTGCTAAATATGTACAACTACAAAAGTTGGTTACACTCACAAGCTTATTGGTCATTGGAGACATTGTTAAAAACAGATAAAATCTTTAATTTATAGTTATAACCGTCTTTTTTAACACTTCATATGATTTTATTGGTCATATGTATACAAAGAGGAAAGTGTATTTATGGTTTAAGTTATAGGATTCTCGTTGGGTCAAATGGATCCATTCTTATAGACTCATTGATCGTAAGTTCTAGGATGTCCCAATAAAGAATTGTGTTTGGTCGGGGCTCGCAAAATATCCTTATTATGAGGGATAGGATTAGAGACCTGCTGGTCCATTTTCTCGGCTTTTGACCCCCTTTTTGTCCATTAAACATGTTGAAATTCATGGAAAAGTGTAAACATAAATCCTTGTTACTAAAGTATTTATGTTATTTTTTTGTCGTATTTTTCGTTTTTTAAATGGGTCGTATTATACATAGTCGCTTAGAATTAAAGGTTGGAATTCATAGAAAAGGTTCGAGTTTGTAGTTTAGGAACTAATTTGTTCCTAAGGGCCATGAAAGAAATGTCACTTGTTGATCCAAGGATTGAACTTTGGGTTCGAAGTTCTTATTGGAAGGAAAGAAAAGTTGAGTAAATAAATGGAAAAGAAAAGTTTGAAGATATGAGAAAGATGCTAGGAGCAAATATATTGACCATTTTTGAATTAGGGGGAATATGTTGGAGAATATAGAAATTTGGAATTTATGTTTATCGGTGAAATAAGAAACTTTATTGATGAGTTTTTGTATTGGAGTAGGATTTCAATCCATTTAGTATAAATAGGTTAGATGTCTTATGTTTTCTATCTCAAGTTTTGTAAGTTTTCCAGCTTTGTTTCAATAAGATACTTGCAACCTAAGTAATTTCCCATAATTCTTTTTCTCACATGTTTCGTTCCTCCCATGTTCATCTTGTTCATCCCATGGTCATTTATTCTTCTTTTCTTCCCAATTTCTAAAATTTTTGTGCCTCTTCTTTGTTTGTGTCACATTCTCAGAGAATCAAGTGAACTGATTCCTATATTAAGTTCATTCTTAGAGAATTAAGTGAATTAATTTCCATAAAAAAATATTGATTACTAGATTAACGAAGAACAATCAATCATATCATATAGACATATACAAGTCCA